TTGTATAACCCTCCTCCCTCTCCCCCTTGGTAACATCTGTCTCCTACTGTTCTTCTCTCTCAGGCTCCTTGAGAACATCAATCGATGTGCCAACCCTAACTTTAAGGCCTAATAAACACAACAGTGACCAGCACAGCAAACTATATTGGGGCAGTAGTGGCACTTTTGTCTTGGGAATAATCAATAGCTATCTAATTGAACCTGAAGTCTATTCAATGGTAGGGAATTCATGCGTGGTACTGTAAATAAAGCCAAATAAACATGACTGGAGAGGTCATAGACCTTAGAGAAAATTCCAAGGATTTCATATCCCTAGACAAATGTAATTTCCTACTATGTACTAAATATGGGTCCTTATAGTTACAGACAAGTACATCAGGTGCCACTCATCAAAGAAGCTTCCTTTGTGGTCAGAGACTATTACAGAGGTCCACAACTAGTCACACACAGAAATTAAATGTCTGTGAAATGCCCAAATCTAAATGACACATCTACAATGGACCCTCCATACCTAAGACTCATAGAACATAGTGGAACGAGGGCCGAGAGAATACTAATGCATCTCTCAGCTCTCATCAACAGAGTTCCCTCATGAAACAGGGATGAGGGATCATTTCAGAAGACAGGAATGAAAAAATGTAAGAGCCAGGGGAGGAGGAGCAAGACCATATGGAAGTAGAGTCTTACAGGTTCCTGGGAACTTGCTGATATGAACTGACAGCATTGGCATCAGCATGCACAAGACCCATGCAAACTCAAGCAGACAAAAACCCAGTATAGAACTGTTAAAAGGGGCAGCAGGCCCCAATCTTAGCCAAAGAACTATTGGACAACTAGTTACCACTGGGTGAGGAAGAACTAATCTTAAGGGAGGGACTCTAGATAGGCTGACTAGACCCTAGTGGATGAACTTTCACTGAGGGACATCAGGGGACATTAACTTGACTTGATAGACCTTAACATAAATGATAGAATACATGAAATCCAATGGGGGGTGGGCTATGATAGGGTGCCGATGGGGGAGAGGGTATAAGGATGATAAAAACGTTGTGTACGAAATACACAAAAAAATCAAAGATATTTTTAAAAACAGATGCACAACAAATCAAACAGTAATACAAAGCTTTGCAACTGAAAAAAGGCCAGGCCAAGTTAAATTCACAGAAGTGTTTTACCAGACTGTAAAGAAGATCTACAACAAACACTACTTAAATTATCATGTTTAGGACTGTTCTTTCAAATTCTGTGTCTTGGGTTTCCTCAGGGTGATTCTCATTGTAGAACACTTCTGTAGGGCTGGTGGGTTTTGTTGAGTACATATTCTCCTGCTTTTTCATATTATTTGTGTTTTTGCATTGTCTTGGGCATATGGATGCTTTTTATTGGTTGTGTGTCAGATAGGAAATTTTATTCTGCCTTTGTTTGAAGTTTGATTCTTTTTATATTGATATAGCTTGGTTGCTTTTTTCTCAGATATGAAAATTTAGTTGGTGTGTGCTTCAGGTTCTCATAGGATACTAGGCTGGTCTGGGTAGCAGGCAGGTCTGTGATAGGCAGATCAGGAGAGCCGGCGGAGGGCAAGACAGGTGGTGGGACAGACTGTGAACGGTGTAACAACAAAGCTGGAGAATTAGCCTGGTCTGAGTGCAAGGGATCAGGATGCAGTGGGAAGGGCTGGACTAAAAGGCTAGTCCAGAGAGCTGGGGCTGAAAGGGCAGGAGCAGGCCTGGGCCCAAAGCAAGAAGAGGGACAGAGCGAGGGAAACAAGTGGAGCTGCTTAGGTTGCAATGGAATCAAAAGTCAGTGGGCGGGATCTGACTTCCTAGGGTAGTAAGTGAGTCTGTGTCAGATCTGGAAGCCAGGCGCAAGGTGGGGTGGGGACGGCTTGTGGAGGTCTAAGAAACTGTGCTTGAGGATTCATCTAATCTGGGTCAGGATGCTGGTCCAGAGATCTGAGATAGAAGAGCAGGGGTGGGCCTGGGACCAAGGCTTGAAGGGAGACAGAGTGCAGTGTAGGTAAGTGTGGAGCTACTCGGGCTGCATGAGGATCTGCATTCAGTTTTCTGATATAATCTGCTAATCTGTGTGTTTTTATTGAGGAAATGAGACCATTAATTCAAATTTATTATTGAAAGATGTGTTTATTTTCTGTCATTTTGTTGGTTTTGTGGTGGATTCTTTGGCCTCTTTTTGATCCACTGTACTGGTATTATTTATTTATTTCCTGTGAGCGCTTGGGTATATTATACTTCTCTTCAAATTTAAGGATACCTTGAAGTATCCTTTGTAGATCTCAGTAGTGATGAATTCCTTTAATGTTTTTGTCATGGAAAGTTTTTGTTTCTTTCTATATTTCAATTGCTAGTTTTACTGGTATAATAGTCTTGGTTGAGAGTTGTGATCTTTTAGAACTAGGCATGCATTTTGCCAGGTCATTCTGGCTTTAAATTTTTCTGCCAGATAATGAGGCGTTATTGTGCTGAACCTGCCTCTATAAGTGACCTGGCTCTTTTTCTCTTGAAGTTTTCAATATTCTTTGTTTATTCTGTGTTTTTAATGTATTAACTATAATATGCCATGTGGAGTTTCTTTTCTTGTGCTATTTGGAGTTCTGTAGGTCCCTTACACCTGGATAGGCATGAAAAGTTTTCTTCTGTGATTTTATTGAAGTTATATTCTTTACCTTTAATATGATATTCTCCTTCTACACCAAAAATCCAAAAATTGGGTCTTTCATGGTTTCCAAAAACTTCTATTTTTCCATCATGGATTTTTATGAATTTATCAATTACATTTACTGAGTGAACCAATTCCTATACCTTGTCTTCTAGCACTGATAGTGTTGCTTTCCACATGATTTATTCTATTGTGGAGGCTTTCTACTGAGGTGCGTTTTTGTTTGTTTGTTTGTTTGTTTGTTTTGTTTTGTTATTTTTGGCTTACTGAGTTTTTCATTTCCAGCATCATTTCAGTTTCTTTTTTCTCTTTATTGAATTTTATTTTCATATCTTGTACTGATTCCCTATTTCACATATATTTTTGTTTTAGTTTTCTTATATCTATGTCTTCTTTGAGCTGTTTAAACATAGTTATAAGCATTCTTTTGAATTATTTATCTGAAAGTTCTTTAAGGTAATTTTCATTGAGGTCTGTTATTATGGGCCAAGTAATTTTTGGATAAGACATGTTGTCATGGATTTTCATGTTGTTGCTGTTTTTGCACTGGGACTTGTGCACCCAGACTTAGCTGGGTAAGTGGGAACATGGACGTGGGGATGATAATCTGGGGAATGGTTTTCTGTCAGTGTGGAGGCTAGGAGAACTGAGGAAAGGGTGTGCCAGGGGTTAGTGTCTGAGGACCTCTTCCCTGTCAGCACCAGGTGCTGGGAAAACAGGGAAAGTTTGAGCTGAGTAGCCAGGGCCTGGGGAGCTCCTATGTGTCAGCAGAGGGAGCTGGGTGGGTAGGCTTGTGTTTGTATTTGAATAAATGGAAATGCCTAAGTTAAACAAGTCTCTGTTTAGAAGAGGAAAAGACAAATAATCTTAAAGTTAAATGCCCTTACTCCAAAGAAATGCTGAACATTAGTTATGTTATTAGCCTAATACATATGTTAAAATATCACACTGTGATCCACATGTTGTCAAAATTAAAATATATGTAAAACTGTAAGAGATTTTTAAATTCCACTCATTTTGCCACAATAATTCCCAACCTGACAATGAAAAATTGATGTGATGATACATTGTTCCTTTTTATTATATCTATGCTAAATTAATTCTAATTTCTATGCCTCTCTGATCAGTTTCTAAGGTTTCCTGGACTGTTGCTGTAAAGGTAAAACAGGTGTCTGTGTCTGGTTGAATGAAAAGGGATCAATGGAAAGCTGTTATACCTCTCTGAATGAAGAAATAAGGAGCACTGACATATGCAGCTAGTGAATGTTCACTGTCACCACATGCCTTGGCAACTTCACATGCAAAGGAATTTAATTTCCTTGGCTTCAATTTACTTTAATTTTATTGTGGTCTTTGAATCCTTATTTAAATTAATGTATCTCTCAACTCTCACCACAGAAGCTTCTCGCAATAGATGATGATTAACACAGAAACCCACAACTTGTAGCCGTTCAGAAAAAAAGAGATTGCAGAATACTCAGGCCTAAATGGGACACCTGTATCATACCCTTTCCTCCCAAGACTTGGGGATCATTACAGAAGAGGGGTCAGACAGATTGTAAGAGACAGAGGTGCTGGATCAATACAAGACAACCATGTTTTCCAGGCACAACAGGGTAACCACACATATGAACATACAATGCTTGTGAAAGTATACACAAGACAAAATCCCAGCATGGAGGGAAGAGCCTGACAAGAAGTCCCAACCTTAGCTGAGGAACTATTGCTAATGGAGAGCTGTTCAGAGAGAGAGACCGTTTTATTAAGGATATGATGCCAGCTGGACCAACCCCAAGATCATTTCACAAATACAAACTAGACTCAATAGATCTCAAAAAATAATAGAGGCCATGAAGTAATGAGGGGTGTGTAAGTGGAGATAGATCTGATAAGAGATGGGGAAGGGAACTTTACTGTGAGATAAGAGGTTATGGAAATGAAAGAGTAAATAAATATAACAACTTTTAGACATGGCTATCTATTCCATGATTTATTCAAAATTCATTCTCCTGAATAACAGTGCTGCAAATCACATTGACTTCTCTCTGGAAGACAGTATATGATAAACCATCACTAAAATATTGGAAGTTCTGTAAGTCAATCTGATTAGCTTCTATTTGACTTAGTTATTTCTCAGGTTACATGTTATGCAAGAAAAAGACATTTGGGTTTAGTGATTTTAAAATATATCCTCAGTTCCAATGTGAGGAGAATCTAGATTGTTCAAAGGGGTTCAGAAACATTTATTCACTAAATCACTTCTTTCCAAACCCAGCCAAGAAGGAATTAATAGCAAAGAATATTCCATGGGAATATGATTCATTTCAGTGTTTAAAAGTATAGCCCACCTGTCTGAAATGATTTCCGACTAGTTCTTTTGTTCTCAGGAGATGTGTTGCCATTCTTTGTTTCCTAGGATACAGAGTTTCCTGAATAGCTTTCGCAGAGCTCCTTTAACTTCCTGGTTCCTGAGGCTGTAGATTAGTGGATTTAGCATAGGGCCAACAAGTGTGTAAAAGATGGCTACCTGGCTATCCTGTTCTAAGTTGTAGCTGGATGACGGCCGGAGGTACATGTGAACCAAAGAGCCAAACAGGAACAACACGACCAGGATGTGAGAGCCACAGGTGGACATGGCTTTACGCAGGGCAACAACTGAGTGTGTGTGAGCTATGGCAATGCCTATGCGGACGTAGGAACCAAAAATGAAGAAGAAAGGACTGACCACCACAGCCACACCTTCAGTGAAGATTAGCATTTCATTGACCACTGGTCTGGTGCAGGAGAGCTTCAGCAGAGGAGTGATGTCACAGAAGAAGTGGGTCACCTGGTTACCACAGAAGGTTAAATGGGTGACCAACAGAGTATACAGGAGACTGTTAAGGCTGACAACCACCCATGAGGTCAAGGTTATGCGCAGACAGAGGCGATGGCTGACAATGGCAGAGTATCGTAAAGGCTCACAGATGGCGACATAGCGGTCATATGCCATGGCGGCCAGCAAGTGGACTTCCATGCTGCCCACAGCCATGAAGGAGAACAGCTGTGTCATGCACCAGCTGAAGGAAATGGTTCGATTCACAGACAGTGTGTGCACCAGCATTTGAGGAATAATAATGGTCGTTAGAGATATATCAATTAAGGAAAGTTGGCTGAGAAGGAAATACATGGGAATCTGAAGCTTGGGGTCTGAGCAAGCCACAATCACTAATAAGGCATTTCCCCAAACTGCCATCAAATACATTGCAAGGACAATCCCAAAAATAACTGGCTGCATCCCTGGTCTGCTGGGCAAGCCCAACAACACAAATTCAGTCACCTCTGTCTTGTTTTTAGTGGCCATAAGACACTGTCTAAATTACCTTCAAAAGAGGAAGATCAGAGCTGGAAAAGGAAGAGGAAGATACTAAGGTTCAACCAGATCTCAAGAGTCTCTACATCTCAGACGAAGTCGGTCACTGGAGTGAGGATCTCCTTCTACCATTGTGTTTCAGGAACATCAGTTTTGTTCTTTTGGTAAAGGTGTTCCATTAAGTCAACTAAGCTTATCTGGAATGAGGGTAGAGATAATTACTGTAAGTCTTGACTTTATTAATGACTAACTTTTTCATGAAAATATACTCCTCCAGCGAATGAGATTCTCACATCTTGTTAGGTCAGTTTTTCACTATAAACAGATACAGAGGTATCCCAAAGTAATAAATTTCTATGCCACTGTCCAACTAAAAATAGTTCGATGAAGCAATATATTTATAACAATGTGAGAAAAATTTTAAATATAACTATAGAACACTTAATAAAAAGGGTACCTAAGCTTGCCTAACTAAGTCTAGGTTTCAGTTCTTTGATGGTTCCTACATCTGTTCTCTAAACAGTATGCTACCTACTTATGCACATATGTTTGCGCATTGCAACTTAAGATATCTTTTGGCGTTCTACTGTAAAAGATCCGATTTCACTCTAGTCACAGTATCTCATTCTTCTTTCCTTAAATTTTAATCATTATTTTCATTCTTTGATTCCTGCTTTTTTTCTCCATTTTTGGATGTATTCATGAAATTTGAAATAATATAATAATGGTAGCAGACTTTCTTGGTCTTCGAATGTCAAGAACATCTTAATCTTACATAAACTCACACATGGTCACTAAGAACTTTACTTATTATTTCTTGATTTAAGAAGTTTATTTCCAGTCAGATTTCTAACCTTTGGCTAGGTTCCTTCCATTCATTACTTTAGGAACTTTATTTGTGCTTCATGTAGGTATTTTCAGTAATTCTGTGATGAATGACTATGATAATTTTTCAATCTGAAGATGAGTGTGTGCCATTCCAATTCGGAGAAAGTTTCTCATAAAGATCTTTTTTTAGCTTTCTACTTATTTTCTGAAACTATTGCTAATTGGCTTTTTCACTTCTTTGATCAATATGATTATCTCAAGTTTTCTATCCGTGTTCTAAATTATGTTCCTCTAATTCATAGTTGGTATTTGTTTTAGTCTTGAAATCATGTTTGTCGTCTCGTGACTTTTTATTGCTTAATTTATTCCACTCTGTCACCGTACTATTTTACTATGGATGCAGCTCTGAAAGTACAACTTTTTTTGTTTTTATTTTAAGAATTTCAGTTACCCTAAAAATAAGACATAAATGACTAAATTTGTGTTGTTGGGTTTGTCCAGCAGGCCAGAAATGCATCCAGTTATTTTTGGACTCATCTGTGCCACGTACCTTCTGGCAGTTATGGGCAACACCCTACTAATAATTGCTGCTTGCTTGGGCCCCAAGCTTTTATTCAGCTGTAAAGAAAAACAAAATTCAGAAAATACATTTTTCAATTATCTTTTATAAATTAAATGATTGAAGTTTCTTCTTGAGTCAATGATATGGATATTTTACATTGTGTTTTCACTTTTATGTTGCTAGTCTCCTTTTGTCTAACATCACTTGTTCTAGATCATTAATGTCAACTTTTTATTCTATGTGTTTGCCTATATGTCACACACCACACCCAGGAATAAGGGTGCCTTCCTACCTGCTCACATGGAAAGCTTGCTTTACATTACTCATCCCAGTTTAAACTGAGGACTTTCTCTGAGATATAGTACCCAAATTGAAGGTCATAACTTTCTCTTTCTAGTGAAGAGTTTTCAAGTTTTCATTGGTGTAAGATGGTATGATAGAGCAGTCTGAGTTTTAAGGTAGGGAGAAGGATGTATTTGGAATGGCTAGTTTCATCAAGGTGTAGAAACACATTCACATTAGTCTAGTCAATACCCTTATATGCTACACTCTTCCCATCCTTTCCTGAACTGGCTACTTTTGGCATAGGGTCCAGTCCAGGACAGTAAGTGCCATATTCCATTACAATCCTTTCCTGGTGTTCTAAGGGGTGGTAATCTCAATGCTACTTTCTTTGTCTCTGAAAAATCCAGTGAAATATCACACTTGCTAATGATTCCCCATTATTCCTACTTATTATTACATATGTTGCCCTTTGTTATTGTTTTGTTGAGATCCCTAAAGAGATAGAACAAAAACAAAAGAAAAATAAAAGACCAAACCAGAATCAAGTATTCCTCTGAGCACTGAACATGTCTGTGTCCACCATAAGAAGTCAATCACAAAAGGAATTAGATATTCAAGCCCATTAACTGCAGACATTTTCCTGGATGCTTTAAAAACCTGATTTCCTTTTATAGTCCTAGGTAGAAGTTCGAAGTGTCCTCCACCACAGACATTCACCTCACTGGGCTGCAGGTTCTTTAGTGTCAGTTACATATTCTCTAAGCACATCTGAATTCATTTGAGTAAACTTTGGTTTTCCTAAATCTCAGTCATTCTTTTCAGACCTTCTTTATTTAATAGAACATAGCTATAAAGCAGAAGCTGGGATGATAAAGAAAACTTACATTTTCCAGTGTTTCTTTTGTCTTCATTCCCTCTTGTATCTTTCTATGTCAGGGTATCAACTCACACTTTATGTTTTTAGGATGCAATTAATCCTTCAAGGTATAGCCACACACATATGTCAATATGGAAAACATGGAAGTGTAAACGAAAATGAAAGAGAAAAGGCAGGAAGAGATATGGACTAAGTTCTTACATAAAGACAGAGTGAATGGCAATGCTTTCCAAGAAATAAGTGATAAAGCTGTTCTTTGTCCCCATTAAGAAGAATGTAATAACAAGGATTTCAGTTTCTTTAAGTAAAGCAAAGCTATATTTCTAAAACTATAATGATGTCATATGATTTATAGTCAGTAAGAATAACAATGTAGAAATGCTCCTCTTGGCTTGTCTCAAGGATTCATCTCTAAACAGTTTTTACTTAAAAAAATCTCAGCATTGCTACCACCAGATCTTGAGCTCTTTGGATTTAATTCAGGCAACTTGGGAAGATGCTGGTGCTAGAGAGAGAAAATTCTTCAGGATAGATATGAGGAGACCCACGTAGACAGCACTGAAAACCCTTAAGTCAATAAGCTACATAAATATGGAAGAAGGAATAAAAGAATACCTGAAAATAAGCACTTAAGCATCTCTGATTTCTCAGTTCCTAGCCTGTGCTCTGACAATAACTAGCCAGGGAGGAGGGGGAGCAGGAGGCACTCTTCCTAACCTACTAACTCTTCACCCCCCTTTGATGAAAGTGCCATGGACACATTCATCTTCACTATTTTATCAGTATCTGAATATTCTGATACGGAAATATTTATAGGCTTATTGGTCTAAATGCTATTTCCAGTCAACTTACCCTCTTTTGATGAATCGCAAAGACTGATACTGAGATGTATAAATAAGATCCTCCTCTTTGTTGTCGCAAAACAGATCTTTCAAACTCACAGTGAACTGACATCTCTGTGACATATTTCTGGGATCCAGCAACTACGGAATGTCTCACCATGTCTTCTCATTCTAATTCCATCACTATTTTCTCCATCTCAACATTCATTTTTCACTTAAAAATATATTTCTGTCCTAATCTGCATTTCCTTCATCTTATCTCTTGCCTCTAATATCGTTCTACTCACTAAAGTTTTCTTGGTACAAATGTCATGCTATTTTCTAGAAAATTAACATAACACACTGCCTTCTGTCTCCTGTCCATTTATTTTAGGACAGAATATAAACTTAACCTCATATTTTCTCCAAACCTAAGATCATATACCAAGTTTAGAAGTCTAGACAGAGCTGCAGTCCCTCTTGTCATAAGAATTCTCTTTTCACCACTTTCTATAAAAAGCTTTCTAGGACAGTTCATTGCAATGAACTTGGCTCATGTGATGTGCACTCATTCTGGGACTCAAATAACCCCAAGAGGCTCCAGTTGTGGTCAGATGAAATAGTAATGTGATTAATTTCAGTGTCATTAAGAAGGCAGTCTTGAAATTTAGACTATTCCCCCTCCCTCTTATCCATTCCATACCTTGCTCATACCTGCAAGTTGGTTTTAATTTCTCCTGTAATAAACTGCTCTAATACATATCAACAGTTGATAATTTCGCTAGAAAAGTAACATAACCAGACATTGTGTTTCTTCCTAATGAAATAACACAGATCTGCCTGAGCCACCTTCTCCCAAAAAATCAAACATCTATATAACCAAACTTCAATTTTACAGAAAATATAAAGTATAAATGAACATATTATACCAAAATGTGGTGAAAGTTTCAGACAAATTCAGAGTAATAAATTACACAAGAAAATAATTCAAATTCTTTCACAAGTAAATTCTAAGAGATTGGGGTTGGGGAAAAACAAAGAAAGGAACAGGCAAACTATACTAAGGAACTAATCTCAATAAATCATGTAACCATATGAACATTATTAGAATTCTAAGGGGTTTTTTTCTTAGTTTTTTGAGACAAGGTCTCCCCATGGTCCCAGCTGGCCTGGACCTACCTATGTAGACCAAGCTAGCCTCAGTCTCACAGAGATCTGCCTCCCTCTGGGTTTTCTTAGTTTTTTGAGACAAGGTCTCCCCATGGTCCCAGCTGGCCTGGAACTACCTATGTAGACCAAGCTAGCCTCAGTCTCACAGAGATCTGCCTCCCTCTCCCTACTGAGTGCTGATATTAAAGGCATGTGCCACTATGTCCAGCTTAGAATCTTAGTTTTTTAACCATAAAAATATTTTCACTCTACTTATGAGAAAATTAGACATTCAAAACTAAATTGGTGTTTGGTAATATTATGGATTTGGTAATATTATGAATTATTGATACAACTCTTTAGAGATTGGATAGATACATGGAAGATATGGATAGATGAGAGATGATAGGAGATAGATGAT